ATGCAATTTCTGTACTCTTTGTGCTCCCAGAGCTCTGATGCCAAATGCAGAGCTTTGAGTGTGAAAGCAGCTCAGTACTGCATTTTAGGTATTGTTTTGAAAATTTTTAGCATATGTAGTTTTGTGGTTTTTAATTTTCATCTTTACCTGCATACAAACTATATCTCCCCTCACCCTCCTCATCCCTCCTAGACAGAAAGCAGAATCAGTGTACCTTTGGTCTAGTCAAGCCTGAATATTCTGGAAAAAAATCAGCTTTTCTGTTTTATCTTAGTCATTGGAGGTTGAAAATAGGACTTATTGTAATTTTTAATCATGGAGTTCTTCCAGCACTGCCTAACTTCTTACTCCTTGGGCTGTATTCTCTGTTTCAGAAAGTGTTGCTGATAAGAAATATTTAAAGTATAATAAAAGGTAATTTTTAAATTATTTTTATGACAATGCTGACATTAACACTAACGCTTAGACTGAGGGTTAATGGAATTTATCATAATTCTGTGAAAAAGACAATTTTCTGGGTAAAAAAATGAATTGTGAAATCCAGGGTTATTTTTGTCATCAAGTTCAAAAGAAACATCAATAAGAAGGTCAGTGCCTGAAGTCCTTCAGTCCCCTTCAAAGAACATATATTTAAATTTGAAAGTTTTGTAATAACAGTCCTTTTGCCTATGATGGTTCTGGTGTAGTCATCTGGAAAACAGTGGAAGACGCATATGAAAGAAATGGGAACAGCACTGGATAAAACAGCATATTTTACTCTTGTAGAGACAAATAATCAATAATTAGCACTTTCAGGAATCTGGGCAGCTCAGGGACATGGATTACTTAAAAATCAAAGTTCAACAACAGTCTTCATAAAAATTACATCAGGTTTACAATTTAAATCCCCAACAGCAGAAATGCAACACAGAAGGCAAAATTCTACAAGGAATTTACCATGGACTCTTTCCTCTAGCATGCCTAAATACTGAAGAACATATAATAAATTTTGCTTTTGCATGAAATATTTTGCTTCCATGGTCTTGATTTGTTATGTGACATAATGTGGAGTTGTTTTTTTAGCTGGTTTGTTTGATTTTGGTTTTAGTTTGATTTTAGATGGTTTGGTTTTGGTTTGTTTTTAAATTAAGGAATGTTTAAATTATCTATCTGGTTTTGTTTCTCACATTTTCAAAGCCCAAAATACGTTCAGAAGAAGACTTTAGACTTTAGACTGGGGGAAAAAAAAAAAGAATGAAATACAGACTGTCCTGAACTGTAAGACCTCCTCAAGTAACTAATGATAACATCAGTAATAACTGAAACTAGAATCACATTTTCACCCCAGAGGATTTCTAACCCATTTTCACAAGGATTGAGTCAGACTTTGATTTCAGCACTTTCCAGAAGTATGTAAAAAGTGGCTTCTGTCTGCTGAGACAGATGTTCTAGTGTTTTTCTAAGTCCTCATCATTTATCTCCCAGCACACCAAACACTCATCGCCAGAGACAGAAATAAACAGAAGGATATGAATTCCCAGCTCCTTGGTGGGCAGAGAGGTGATTGAACATGGACACTTTTTTTCAAGCAATAATTTAATTATTTAGAATTTTTTACAAAAGTTTTAATAGATTTCAAAAACACTGGGATATATTTAATATTCTAAGACGGGACATTAAACTGGAATAATAACTACATCTACTTATGTGCCTTAGAAAATGGTGGTTACTGATAATATTTCCATCACCTTTCATGAAAACAGAAAAATTTATTTTGGCTTGAGCTTAACTCTGCACACCACTGCATATTTTAGAAAACTGTGACTGCCTTTAATTTTGTATGTAAGTGCTGTAAGTGAAACTTATTCATACAGGACTAGCAATGTTTTTGGGACAGATACAGTCGAAAAGTTGGACAAAAGGTGGTATAGAACCATAGCAAAGTAATTTAACATACATACTAATTCTTTAGCTACAGTTTAACTTTGTGCTTATAAAAGGTCTCTAACTGAAATTTGAATTACCAAAGTCTTGTGTACTAGGACAATCTATGCATTTAATATAGAGGAGATAATATTTTTAATACTTTTTTGATCTGTTTTCAAGAAACATGTATCTTCAAACATGCATAGCTTACACTAGAAGATGCAGCTCTGTGGAAAAAAAAATTTGAACAAGATAAGGGCTTCAGATAAGACTTTTCAATTGCAGAAGTGGCAGGCCATGTTTCATAGTTTGTTCTTTGCTAGATATATGCACAGAGATATACATATGTCCTTCAAGAATGTCTACAGCTACAAGGGTAATTGCTACACACATCACTTGACATTACTTCAGAATTCTTTGTAGAGTGTGAATTTCAGGAACATCACATTTTGCAAAAGAAAAAAAAAGTCCTTAGAGGGAAAATTCATCAGTTCAGAAATCTACTATAATGGTATTTGTAAGTGAAGCTGAAATTAATAGTGTGCAGTTGAGAGAACCAGCAATTCCTTTACCTTCTTAGCTATCTGTATGAGGTGTGATGAGTTTAATTAATGAAGTATGTTCCACAGATATTCATTTGAAACATTCCTTCAGGTGGCACAAGAATTTAATGCACTTCTTGTTCCTATTAAGTTCACTTGTATCCCCTACACCTCTAGCACAGCATTTCTAGTAAGACTATATACAAAATTAATACCATTGTTTACCGTTCCAGTGCAAATTCCTTTGCTTAATACTTACATCTTCACATTAAACACACTATGGACAGAGTGGAAAAATGGTTAGTACTGCTCTTCAAAACCATAAGAAATATTAGGCATTGCCAGACACATTACATGTTTATAGTTCAGGTTACCTTGTTCAGTGTCAGTGTGTACAACTAGCCTGTTACATACACTTAAATATTTTAGCTGGCCTGCCCTCCAGAGTTTTCTCCCCTTTAGGGAAAAGGGAGGTGTTGTTCCAGCTCAGAAACAGATTGCTATCACCACCCAGAGGCCGGCTGTTGGTTACAGCAATCGCTATAGGGCTTCTCCTAATTAGATGGGCATCGATGGCAGTGCTGATGATCCAAAGAAGGAAGCTTGTAAGGCAAATAGCATGAAGGGTTATTCCTTGGGAGTGGATAATGTACCTCCAGGGATTTGAATTGGGGAAGTGGGATTAACAAGAGATACCTCTTGTTAAACTGCACAGCTCCGGTACACAGTCACTGCACTGTACTCAGCCACAGAGTGGGATTATGAACATCAGGCTGTGTGTCATGATTTCTGAGCAGGAATACACACAAAAAAATTAATTGTGGTTCTCTAATAATTTTATATCAGAATTGTTCTTTTAAGTCAAAATTAGCCTACCCGTTATAGAGGTAGGAAACGTAAAATATAATTCCGGGGATATTTTTTAAATGCTAAAATCAACTATGTGTGACCTGACTGGGAGGTTGTGTTCTTCAGGTGTATTTGTAAAATGCATGCACTACTGAGCATCCAGCAGCAATATCTGATTTCAGGGCTGTCATGGTGTCAACATTGTTTACAGTATCTGCAAGCTTATCTTTATTTTCCTTTATTTATTTTAGAACTTTGACTACTGAACTCTGTTGGCAGCAAAAGTCCTGTCAAAGTGATGAAAGTGTGGGCAAAATAATAAAATTGTTAAATTTGAAACAAGTACATTTTCCTTTTTTTAAAATGTATTTTTAATTTTCTTGATTTGTTGGCATACTGTAGCAGTAGGGAACTTTGCTAAATAAAATGTCCACTTAGTCCTTCAGGTGCTTGAGGTTTTTTGGGTTTTAACTTCTTTTTAAGAAATAAGTCTCTATTTGTAACTTGAGCATTTTTGGAAATGCCATTATGCTACTTAGTACTTACTTATTTTATGCTATTGTTACACAGATGGGGAGGTGAGTGAGGTGAGGTATTTCACACAGCACTGGATCAGAAGGAACTCTGTGACATAATTATATAGGCCTCAGAAACAGAAGCAGCAACCAGTCTTTATGCTGAAAGACCCTTAGGAATTTTCAAGATGACCTAAAACTTCTGATGAACTTGAACTCCACCCCTCATGTATTTTGAGCCAGGATAATACACTGATTTAATGTATTAAACCTACTGTAGTGGGTAAACAGTCTGTTTCTTCTCATCCCTTATTCCTTTGTGTGATAAATTGTTATGTTCCTCTTCTTCTATAAGAACATAACGCTAATTCAACAACAACTGCACTAATTCAACAGCAATCAGGAAACAGGTTCCTAAATTAATAATGAATATAAAACATATTACAGAGTTCCTCTTTGCTATATGACATTCTTATAAAGTGATTATGGAAGAATATCCTCAGTAACCTGTAATGGATAGGGCTATTAAAGCAGTAAAATAATATCTTAAGTGATAAAATAACATTTGAAGCTGGTGTATGTCTTAACTGACTTGAGCATTATAATACTCTGAATCACGCACACTGAAACTCAAGAAGGATTTCTAAATATACACCATAATGAGCAAAACAGAAGATCCACTAGAGATGATAGCGACCTTCTGGAAAGCAGAATGAACCGTTTCTTTTTTCTTCTGCTGGCACAAACAGTATGCCTCGTTATCATTAGTAAGTTTCTCAAAGCAAGAGTATCTTTCAAAATAAATACTTGGAAAAGTACTCTGGCTACGCGTCCCGCAGACCTGTAGGTCAGAAATACTCTGAGATGTCGGTCTCCTTTTTCAGTCTCTCCGCTGCCTTCGGTCGCTGCCAAGGGCTGGCGGGTCCGGACGTCCCGGCCCCGGCCCCGGCCCCGGCCCCGACCCTCCGTGCCCCAGCCCCGGCCGCTTCCCGGAAGCTCCGAGGGGCGGTGACCCGCGGGGGCAGGGCCGGGGCGCGGGCGGGGCAGTTGGGCCCGGCCCGGCCCGCTGCGGGGGCAGTCCGGCAGTGCCCCGCCGCCCCCGGGAGCCGCTGTTGTCCCGTCCCGCCCGAGGGCGTTTTGGAGCCCTAGAGAAGCCTGTGTGTCCCCACTCCCTGGAAGGCCGTGCACGATGGGTTTCCTGGGCAAGCTGGCGGCGCTGCCAAAGCTTAGCGGGGCGCTGGCGGGCCGGGGCTGCGGTGCCTGGCGGCAGCCGGGCCGGCCCTGTGCGCGCGTCCCGTTCCCGCTGCCACTGCCGGCCCGGGCCACGGCCGCCCCCTGCCCGCCGCCCGGCGGCCGCGCCGCCTCCTCCCGGGCGCTGGGCAAGTACGAGGAAGTTTTTCGGTCCTGCCTGGCGGAGCCGGAGAAGCTCTGGGGGGAAGTTGCCGAGCAGATCCAGTGGTACAAGCCCTGGGTCCGGACCCTAGAGAGGGGCAGCCTGGGGAGCGCCTCCTGGTGAGTGCCCGAGTGCCCCGTGCCGGGCCGGGGCCGGGGGGCTCAGCTCGGCTGTGGCGGGGAGAGAGGACTGCCTAGCCCGGGGCTGCGGCTGTGCTGGGCTGGGAGTCGTGTGCTCACCACAAAACTATCCCAGCATGTTTCTGGGATTGTCGGTGTGCCGTCTCTGTTGGAGGAGACGGCTGTGAAGCTTGAGGAAGTTAAATGATTACATTTGGTCAAAGTTCATGATTAAAAGCAGCATGGATGAGTGTGTTGTGGTGAAGGCATGTTAGCATGCACTCTAGCAGGTGTGACAGGTGTTGTGTGTGTCCATGTGTGGCTGAATGATGTGGATGAGTGCGCCTGATGCTCCCCATCCCACCCCTTTTTGGGTCTGAATTGGCAGCAGGCTGCCGTGGACATGGGAAAGCCGGCTTCAAATGCCAGGAAAGTCAGGCATGCAAACACACAGGTGTATAAAAAGCTATGGCTTTTGGGATTGCTTTATCTCAGATACTGTCTAAGTAGGTTATAACTTAGATGTTGTGGTTAAGTTAATGTTTGGCAAAGGCATTGGCGTTTGTAATATGTATCTTCCTCAGTGAATGGTGACCTATCCTAAGACAGAATATGATATCCTTCTTATAAATTGCTAGATAGGATTTTCAATACTTTTTAAAAGATAATGTTAAAATTCTTTGTGCTCAAGAGGCACCTTTGCCTCTTTTTAAGCAAGTTTACATCATGCTCTTGGGTCTTTTCTCAAGAAGAAGCTGATGCACAATATAAAAGGCAATGTAGGATAAAGGTCATTTTTACTTGGTACAGCAATGTTCTTTGCTCTTTTTGTATTTTTCTGGGTTTTTTTTTTTTGATCAAAAATGCTAATAATTCTAAAAATTTAGTTTTAAAAATATTAATAATTCTCAAATCTGTGCAAATTAAAAGATAAAGAGCCAGTGGAGTGGAGCTGGATTTCTTATTGGTGTCTGATATCATTGCTTGACACCTCTAGTAGTAAAAATTTATATGTCTTCAGCTAAATTATCAGTAACACCCAGCCATGATGGGCTGTGTTACAGGGGATAGATAGGATCCCTGAGACTTTGATCTCAAGATCATGGCACTATTCAGAAAGTCCAGGTAGGATTGCCTGCATGATTAGGGTCTAGACAAGAATGTAGAGAACATGTCCTATGAGGAGCTGCTGAGGGAGCTGGGGTTGTTTAGCCTGGAGAAAAGGAAGCTCAGGGCAGACTTTATTGCTCTCTGTAAGTGTGTAAAAGGAGATTGTAGCCAGATGGAGGTCAGCCTCTTCTCCCAAGTAACAAGTGATAGGACCTTAGGAGGGAATGGCTTCAAGTTGCACCAGGGGAGGTTTAGATATTAGGAATATTGAATATTAGGAATATTGCATATCAGGAAGAACTTCTCACTGAAAATGTTCTCAAGCAGTAGAGCAGGCTGCCCTCGGAAGTGAAGGAGCTACTAAACTTGGAGGTATTTAGAAGTTGTGTAGATGTGGCACTTACAAGATGTAGTGGTGGACTTGGCAGTGCTGTGTTTAATGGTTGGACCTGATGTTCTTAAGGTCTTTTCCAACCTAATTGGTTCTGTGATCGTGTGATTAAAGACCAGTAAAGCTCATTGACTGCAGCATTCCCAACCAATATAATGAAATCAGTACAGTGGTTACTTTTGAAGGACTAAGGAATGAGAATATTATACATGCACATGAATATAGTTTTGCTATCAGATTCTGTCAAACAAGTGTGGTTTGATTTGCTGAGCAGGATAAGCTTGTTTGTTTAAAGTAACAGAGTTAGGCATTTGTAAAGCATTACTTCTCAGGTGGAAGTTATTTCACCTTACGAGAGGGAAAAATGGACCTTTCATTGTCTGAAGTCAGATTTGTCTTCCAAGCTCTTTGCTAGCCTCACTTTCTAACTTGCATCTTTCATCCTCTGTGGATGCAGAAACTGAAATTATCATGTTAATGTGGGCAAATAACTGTAGGGAGGTTTTACAGAAGACAGAACTAGACTCTTTTCAGTGATGTCCAGTGACAGGACGAGAAGCAATGAGCACAAACTAAAGCAGCCATGTTCCTTTTTTTAATGTGAGAGTGACTGAGCACTGGTACAGAGCTGGTTGTAGAACCTCTATCCTTGGTGATGTTAAAATTTCATCTGGACATGGTCCTGGTCTACTGTCTCCAGGCTGACCTTGTAGAAGCGTACAAGGTAGGTGGGGTAATGTGTATGTCTCAAGCACCCATAGATAGCTGTAGAGCCACTCAAGGATTGTTTGTAATAATACCGAGAAAGAACAGGCTGTGGCTTGAGAAGGGGGCCCTGCAGAGGTAGGGCAGCACTTTTCTGGGATAAATGTCCTTGTTCCAGCTCCTGGAGATAAGCACAACATGGTACAGGGCAGGAAGAAGGTTGGGAAATGGGCATAGACTATAGAGGTATCAGGACCACTGAGGACTGCTGAAGCCCTCTGACCCATTTTCAGAAAGGGCTAGAAGAATGCATCGTGCATGTGAACTAATTTGCATAGAAAGCAAGAAACTTGCTATGGAGTGGTACCCCCACAAAGCTCAGGTGCCTGTGTGCCTCAGGTCTCTGGATAGATCACCCAGCTGATCAGCTGGATCAAGAGGACTCTGGTCATGGAGCAGATGATCTTTATTTCCCCCCTCTTTATTTAATCTCTTTTGCCTTGCATCCTACCTTTATCCAAATCCCACTGCCATATTCTTATACTGAGGTATCAGAGACTAACTTATACAGATTTCCATACAAAGTGTGTGGAATTTACTAATAAAAACTTTGTAAGTTTTTACAGGCCCACTGAGTTTTGTAATTCTTTTTGACCAAGAGTATTTTTGAATCTTAGGTTCTGCCTTCCCCTTAAGGGTGGGATGCCACAGACCTGTCTGAGCAGGTGCCCTCCAGAGGTCCCTTCCAACCTCAAGCCAGTTTGTGATTCTGTGGCATCATACAAAGATGCAAGTCTGAGGACTCAACATCAGGCTGTAATTGTTTGTATGCCAGGTACCCGTTGTTCTGTGGATAATAAAAAATTTAAGCAATTCACATTTGTATAAACAAATGTCTTAATGTGCAACATGCAATCTTATTTCTTACGTTCCCTTTAAATGATAACAGGCTGTACATGATAGAGCTTGTACTTTAATGCCTCTGAAATCCCAAATGGTTACTAGCAGTCAGTGTGCTCAGCAGAGTGACAGATGGGGAACTTCTTTGAATATAAGAGAGAGAGAACATAGAAGAGGGTCTTTCAGAGGACAGGCTGAAAAGAAAACAGACAGTGGAACTCAGCTGAGAAAGAGGCCAGGTGTCCAAGGAAAAACAAAGCTTGCTGGCTTAACAGGGTAAAAAGGGAGTTCTGGGTCAGAGGTTTACCTTGAAAGCTGCTTATGGGGACCTGAAAAATACTATTAACAAGTTCATGTATGTGTGTCTTGAGTTAGAATTTGTTTCCTGTTTTATTAGATCAATTGGAAATACCAATTTTTTTTTTAATAGCTTTGCTGTTGGTTGCAAAACCTGAGATGTACAGAAGCAGATGCTTTTCATATATTTTCCAGTGTAATCTACTTCTATTGAAGAAGTTGAAGGAGGCTGTTACTGTATTTAGAATGTAGGCATAAGGCAATTCTTCCTCTCTAAATACTGTAAGAGCATGAAAGAAATTTGCAACTTGCAACAAAGTGTGTTTTCTTCACTCTCTGCCCCTGGAAATATCAGTAGTATGTCAGTGGAATGCAAAGTGATTTCCAGAAGATAAGTGATCCGTGTCACCATCCCCGACTTGTTTTTTTGAAGCAGTAATCCCAGGTACTGTTCTAAACTGCATCAGTGGCTGATACAGCACAAAACATCTGGTTTGGCCTACATGAAAACTAATAAGAGCTATGAAACATGGTTGCTCAAGAAAAGGATGAAGGAATTGAAATTGTTTGATCTAAAAGACAAAATGGAGACCTGGGTTTTAAACCACATAGAATTTGGTAAAGAAGTTGAAGGAAAAACTTCCTTGAGCTGGCTTTGAACAGGTCAAAACTGTCTTCAGTTGCAACATGGGAAACATAGTCTTTAGATGTTAGACAGAAAAATCTTTTTAATGCTGAAGTTGGTGAAACACTTGAACAGATTATTTTGGAATCTTGTGGAATGCCAGTTAAAAGGGTTAAAACAAGTTTTTATTTAGGAATGTGGAAACGGGTTTCTCTAACATGTGCAGACATGAGGGCAATTTTGCAACATATTTTTTCCTCTGGTGCTAAGACATATGTGCAATATTTAATCCCCTTTGAATTTTGGAAGTGTTGCCCAGATTGCTATTCAAATGTCACTTACATTTTCAAAACTGTTTCAGGGTCAATTTACATAATAATATCTAAAATTATCTGATATTGTCTAATATTTTGTTCAGCTTCTACTCTCATTTAATGTAAAAAAAGTGCATGTCTGCTTTTCTGGTCCTATCAGAACCTCATTCCTTCTCAACAGGGTAACAAAGCTCTCATCACACCTTCCAGATAGTCTTGGTTTTGGATTAAACCTACAGTTGTATCTCTTTCACACACTTGTTTGTAAGTGATTGCTAAAAATTCATGTTGATGTTGCCATGTATCTTTAGAAAACCAGAGCTCTCATGCCTGCTCATGTTTTGACCATTTTAAGTGAATATGTGTTGTAATCTTCGCTGCAATGTTGTTCTTCCCTCTCTGCTGGGGCTCTTCTCCTTTCTCTGCAGCACAGTCCT